TCAAATGGAGAGCTGAGGGGGCCAGGGCTCCAGCTTTGTCCCAGACCAGACTAAAGGCAGTGGCCCACATAGAGCTAATAGGCTTACAAGTGGCACAAACAACTATAAGACTGAAACTCCCACCCCAGCCCTATGCATACGAGCCTAGGTCCATTGTTACCAAAGTCCTCCATGTGCCATTGACTATGTGTGACTTTGAGAACCTTCACTTCTCTGGCCTCAGTTATGCCTTTATTCTCTGGTAATGGCCTGACCCTAGGATACGGTGAAGATAAAATACTGCAGAATGAGAGGTTAGCATTCACTTTGGGAAGCAGGAGACCCAAGTTCAAATTTAGATTTTCTTGCCACATGGAAGCCTCGCTGAGCCTCAGTTTCTGTATCTGCATTTCACAGAGTCACTTTGATGACTCATCTCCCAGCGACATAAGGAAAGTAGCTAGCAGGTGGTTACCATACACTGTTCCCTAGGCCTGGGCACCTGTAATGGCCAGGAGAGGTGTGGTATTTTCCTAATTGGGCAGAACCTATGGTCAGGTCTGGCTCCATAATTCCGGGGGCCCAGAATGAAAAATGCAGAGCTATTTTTCAACAAATATTAAGAATTTCAAGTGGCAAAGCATTAAACCAAGCTCATGACCCTTCTGAGAGCACACTCAGGAAGCTGGCCCTGCCCCTAGATACCTGGGGCAGCTCAAGCCCAGTTCAGGTGGAGGGGCTAAAGCTTCCACCACTGTGTGGAGGGCCACTCCCTCTCCCTGGGGCTGCAGCTGGGACCATGACCGCTGGCCCTGCCACTCTCGGTGGCCATTGGAGGCGCATGAAAGACTGACTGTTCTCCACCGCATTATGCTCGTTTTTTATCTCATGCCATGCATACAGCACATAGTTGATTTCTTTCCGCAAAGGGCTGTGCTTTTTTTCTTTTCCAAGGGCGACGCTGGAAAGCCATGTGGCTTTTATTGCTGGCAGGAATGTCTGAGGCGTTCCTTCACCACCACATGAAATGAAGCCCTAATCTTCATCTGCGTAAGGCCAAAGCCCCCAGTCTCCTCCAAGCCATTGGCCTCTGAGATTAATTAAGGCTTCACAAGGACTGACAGTCATTAGGACATTTGGGGGGAGGTGGAAAATCCCTAATGGGACCGGCTGGGCCCAGGAGCTGCCCGGTGGGTGGTGGGGAGAGAGGGGGGAGAAGGAGAGAGGAAGGTGCTGGGGTCAGAGTCAGTGGGAGGTAACGGGAGGGGGAGGAGTCCAGACTCCACCCTTGGCATAAACTACGATCTTGAGTGAGACCCTCTTCCTCCTTAGGCCTGGTTCTGCCACATGATAAATGGGGGTTTGCTTTGATATTTCAAAGCCTTGTTGGGTCTGACATTGTAAAATTCTGAATCTTAAAAAAAGAAAATTCTGAATCTTGCTCATGATTCTTATGCCAGGATTCTAATTCTGTTCCATAACAGTACCTTCCAACATCTGATTCTGGTCAATGTGAAATGAGTGTAGTGGTCAGGAACTTGGGCTCCGCGGCTGGGCAGCCTGGTTGGAGTCCTATCTCCATCATGTCCCAGCTGTGTGACCTTGGGCAGGTTACTTACCTTCTCTGTGCTTTAGTTTTCCCACATATAAAATGGAAGTGATAACTATACCTACCCCATAAGAACACTAGGAAGCATAAATGTGTATAAATGTGTGAGAGGTGACAGCCACTCAGAGGACTTCTTTCTCTTCCTGCCTACCAAAGTGGAAGCCTGATCCTGGCATGGGCCAAAGGATGTATCACATCCCCTTGGGCTCCAAGCTACCCAGGTCCTTTTTACCACTCCCCCACCCCAAGAGAAGATGCCTCTGATTTGATGGCTCTGCCAGGCAGCTTTGTACCCACCCACCACTTTGGATGGAGAGTCCAAAGCACTGTGACCAGCCAGCAGAGTGGAGACAGATCCCTGAGAACTTGTCTGAACTTCTCAGGTTCTGAGGCCCAAGCAGGGAATCTCTTTACCCTCTGAGCCTGGGTTTCCTCATCTTCAGAATGGAAAGAATAAAATGTCTACCCTGCAAAGTCAGAAGGGTGAGTGAAAATTCCCACAGCAGGCATACAAAGGATTAGTGCAATTATTGTTCCTAGAACAATACTCAAAGTCAGACCAAATACTTGCCTATTAGGATTATTTCTCTGACTTATAGATGACAAAAGTGAGAAGCACATAGAGTGGTAGGAAGACTCCACCAAGTGATAGGACTGGGCACCAGAACCCACATACCTGGGCTATGAGTGGAGCCTACACTCTCAGCTCTGGCGGTGAGAGTGCTGGGATCATCTCTCTCCTCCAACCTGCCCTTACCTTCTCTCCCATCCCTCCCTCTCCCATCGCCAAGAGCACTCTCACCACCGACAAGCAGCAGAGTGGGGTTGGATTGAGGAAGGATTCGCAGCTCTGAGCACACACAAGGGTACTAGTGCCAGCAATGTGCTGGGTGGGAGAGAGGGGCCCTGCGGGCTCCGGCAGAGGTCATGGGAAACCTGTTGGGGTCCCGCAAGGAGCTGGTCTGGCACGTGGAAGCGTACTCTTGGTGTTCAGATGGGAATACTGGGACCTACAGTAAAATGCGGCTGACTGTGGCACTTCTGCTCAGGCGATAGGCACATAGGCTGGGGTTGCATCGGGCCTGGCCCAAGGCGGCACAGGTGGGAACATAGAGCCTGGGCTGACGGAGGACTGCAGATTCCAGCAGGACAAATGTTGGCCCTGCCAGCGCCTTGGGTCATGCAGGAGCTCAGACCAGACCCTGGTCAGGCTTGTGTTCCCTTCTGTAAACTGGGGACTGTAGCTTATCCTGTCTCCTAGCAGGCTAATTCTGAGACAGAAAGACAGTGAGAGCTGGATGGGCCTCAGCATAGGACCCTCCAGAGTGACCCTGGCAAGCTCTTCCAGTCTCCTGACCCAAATGGGAAGAGTCAGCTGATTTCCAAGTTCATGGCTGTTTACCAGATTTTACCGCCTCCAGGTCCCCCACCATCACAATCCCACTTTCTATATCTACACACCTTCCCATTCATTCAGGGGAGGACAGGAGCGATGTGCTTAACCAAGTGGTGCTTCCACGCCTTAAATTCTGAGCCAGTGCTGGCTTTTAAGCTGACTCAATCTTTCCTAGTCTGGCAGGTTTGGGGCAATATTGCCTTTCATTTAAATGGGCACAGCATCTCCACGTAACCATTGGTCATTGGTTGTTATGGTAATAGAATAATGTGCGTAATGTCCAAGCACAGGGCACAGGGCACAGGGCACAGGGCACGTGGCAAAACCTCAGCAGACCTGTTACCCTCCTTCCCACTTTGCCATCAGAGGGGTGCAGACCCTGGGCAAAAATCACACAACTCCAGGCAGTATTTGGGTCCTAATGTCCTAACCACTGTGATCTCCCCACACCCCTACCTCCCCTCCAAATCTGGCCCTCCTCTCCCCTGCCAAAAAGATAAAAAACCTCCGTAATTCCAGAAGCACAATTGTCCTCCTGCTCCTTCTGGATCCTTCCAGAGAGGAGCGATGTCCCCTGTGCTGGATTCTCTGGGGTAGGACCTCTCAGCCCTGCAGGAAACAACCATACAACTTTAAAATGTTACTATTTTTCATTACTGTTTTTCACTAATTACATATATATATGTATATATATTCACTCATATATATATGCTCATATATATTCAGAAATAGGAATGTAGATGAGTTCTAATTTATTTAGCGTTTTCTTTCTTTCTTTTGATACCAACAATTGATAATAACATTTTAGATAGGTGAAATACAATGCCGCTCCCCTCCTAGAGGGAATCTCTAATGCCCCATGGTGAGGTGAAGCTGTTAGAATGGCTCCATTGACAGAAGAACAAACTGAAGATCAGTAAGGGACAGGAATGTCCCCCTTGAGTTTCAAGGCACTAGACAGGAGATGGGTTTCACCATGGACCCTCTGGAGTGGGGGTGTAGAGGCCAGACGGGGAGAAATCTCAGTTCTAGGAGAATCCTCCGAGCTCTTCACTGGACTGGGCTCTTAATGAGACTGGATAAAGGAAACAGATGCCTGGGCAGAGGGAGGGCCTGACAGTGTCCGAAGAGGCCCAGTTGTTACTTAGGAAAGTGCCTGTCTTCAGGAAGGCGGGTGGTAGGTGTGGGCTAGTGGGTTTCCAAAGTGAGAGTTTATGAGCCTAGGAGAAGAGGAGTCATTAAGACCCATGCTCAACCCTCCTTTGAGCTGTCTATAAGGAGGTCACAGACTAGTTCTTACCTCCCCCAGGTACTAGGGGAACCAAAAGAGAAGGACAACCATGGACTAGACTCTGAGCCTGAAATAAGCATCGGACATTTCACAGATGGAAAGCATCTGGGGAAGGGATTTGCCAAGAAACCCAAACAAGGGGTGACAGGCCCTTTTTTTTTTTTAAATAATAATAATAATAGTGACAATCCCACATGAATGGCGTGCCCCCTGTGTTCCAGGCTTGTACTAAAGCACTTTATGCACAATTTTGTGAAGAGGCCACACTACTGGCACCCCCACTTTACAGGTGAAAGAAATAAGGCTGAAAGAAGTTTTAAGCAACTGTCCCCAGATCACTATGGGCCATGGAAGAAGATGAACTCCGGCAGTGGGACTGCAGACTCAACCTCCTTCTACAACCCATTTTTTCTCTTATAAGTTTTTCCAGAGCATAGTCTGGCACACTTGGGGGATCCTCACCTCTTCCTATGAACTGATTGCTCCCTAGGAAATCAGATCGTAAGCTTGGAAGCTCCCCTAGCATGAAGACATAAGCCAGCAGGCACCTTGCTGCCAAGAAGGCACTTGGAGTTGGCTCCTAGATGCCCAAGGGAGGCACATCCCCTCCCTGGGGTAAAGGAGGTAGCTGGCTGTGCCTCAGGTTGGTCCCAGTTTATCTAGCTCTGGGCCAAGGTAGGAGAGGGAAGTGTCTTGACTTTCCAGATTCCTTGTAGACAACTTAGGGTGCTCTTAGGTGGGGGTGGTTTAAGAGAAAGAGGGCTGTATGACCATGGGATGGAGGGAAGAGAGAGAGGAAAGGACTGGTCATACCAGATGGGAAAGGGAGAGAGTGTCCGCATGTCCCAGGTGGGAGAGTGAAAGCTCTCCCTCTGCCTAAACAGCCAAAAACAGATGAAGTCGTTTTTGTCCGACCAGGATGGAGAGGAGGCAGGTTGGGGATCGGTGAAAACTGGTAACTAGTTGGTCTGTTTGTCCCTCCAGAATGGGGCAGGGAAGAACTGCGCATTTTCTGCAGGGTGCACTTTCTGCTGGTGAGAGGACGCAAGGAACAGAAAGTCTCTCTCAACCTCTCAAGGTGAGGAAGGTGGCCTTCGGTTTGACCCAAAGCTATGGGTTGGTCCGAAACGTCGCTGCACAGATGGCGAGAAATAGAAGTAGCCGTCTGTCCTGAAAGGGCAGCTCCTTAGGAGGCGGTCCGCAGCGCCTGGACACCGGGACCGCAGCTGGCGCGCATCTGTGAGCAGAGCCCAGCCCAGCCTCTCCGCGGCTGGCGGGGCACAGGCGCCAACTAGCGGTGGCTCCTGCTACTGCTCCTGCCCTGGCGGCCCCCGCTGCCCTCGCGACCTGGGGCCGGGGATCTAAGCGCCTGTAACCCCGGTCCCTTGGTTCCGGTGCCCACGGCCAGCGAGCGCCCTCCCGAGGGCCGGGACCGCGCCGAGTTCTGTGCAAGGTGCCGGGGACCTACAAAAGCTTCATACTTTGAAAACCCCATTTGTCAACCCTCCATAGGGTGAGGGAGAGAAATCGGGCGGAGGGACAAGTACAAGGGCACGATGCACACCGAAACCACTCGATGATCATGGCCCCACAGCCCCTGGGCTCCGGGCCCTACCTGGCCATGACAGAGTGGGCTGTCCCCAGAGTAGGTACCAGAGGTCGCCTGTGACAAAACCCCATCTCTTGCTTTCCTCTAGTTTTTGGTTCCTGGTGCCAGCGCTTCTGACGGTGCGCGGGCCTTGGGGATCTACGACTCCTAGGCTTAGGCTCTTTAAAAAGGTCCAGTAAGGGACTCTGCTGTCTTTGCTTCGGAAATGACCTGAGGCGCTGACTTGAGGTTCCCAGGAGGGTAGGGGCCAGTTCTCCAGGTGGTCAGAATTGGGTCAGAGTCCGTGCCCCCTTGGAGCCATTCAGGGCTTAATTTCGTTTGGCGACGACGAAATTGTGCGCTCTGGGCAGGGTGAGTCCGAGACAAGATCTTTCCGCGGCCGTCGGATCCTGTGCTTCTTGACTCCCGAGGCTTGGGATTTGTCGTTTTGCACCTGTCGTGTACTGGAGACAACGAAAATCCAGGCCAATCTCCAAAGCGGCAGGGAGATTTAACACGCTTTCGTTCCCTAGAGACCAGGGAGAGCATTTGGGGCGATATTCGGAGTGAACAGGGGTTTGTTCTCCCCTGTTCCCCTCCCAGCTGAGCCCATCCCTAGGCCTGTTCAACTGGTCTAGAAGGCGAGAGAGGCTGGGGTTGTTGGCAGTAAAGCCCAGAAGTGGTTAGGCTGCGCGGCTGGAGAGTGGGAGCGGGACCCCAGAGCCCGGTGAGCAGGTATTGCCTCAGCAAAGCTGTCCGCGTTCCTGCAGCGCGGCCAGAGCACTGGGGCCTAAGAAGACGCGGGCTTGGAGTCGCAGGGGCCACTTTCCAGACACATAGAGGAAGAAAATTCTCTCCTCTGGAAGCCAGGGCCCTTCGCTTTGCAGTCACTCGGCAGTTTCCTTCTTGTCACGGACCCGCGTGCTGTTCCACAACCCAAGACCGTGGTTAAATGTGTAGAGGGGAAAAAATCGGGAAAACGCGTTTTGCAGGTCACATCGTGGTTTTCAAAGAGGCATAGGCTGCCACAACGAAGAAAGATGCCTTGAGGCCTGCATGATACTGAAATTGTTTTCAGAGGAGAGAGGAACGGGGTTGTTGATCACAGTCCACTGCGGGTCCGTGGGAGACTTCCTTCCGTCTGTCCCCAGGGTGGCATAGGGGCCACTGAGTCCAGGACTAATGCAAAGCTAGGAAGCAGAAGCCACGGGTTGGTCCCGGTGGCATGCGAAATCCCTTGTGGGTGCTCTTGGGTTAAAGTAGTTTGCAGGGTGGTGTGGGGAGGGGGGCGAAGATGAGTAACCTCTTTGGGGGCTGCTCCCGACGCCCTGTCACTGGCCATGGAGTCCCTGCGGTCCCCACGTGAGGGTGCCGGCGTCACAGAACAAAAGTGTCCAGAGTTCAGGGAGCCTGGCTGTGGGCAGGGCGGAGGAGGAGGGAAGGGGTTGCGGTCCCTGTGTCAGGAAACCTCGACCCTGGAGAGGCAGCAAGGGAGCTTTCTGTGGGGCCCAGACGTTCTAAACAAATTTCTAGCTTCTGCCCTAAGCTCCTGAACTCTCCGGGGCCCTGGGCTACTGAGCCAGAGCCTCCGACCCAGGGCTCCGCGGGGCGGGGCCTTCCGCCCCTCCCCGTTGGGCGGCCTGCGGTGGGCCCGTTCCTCCCCCGCGAACGCCGCGGAGGTCCCCGCGATGGGGGCTCCCATTGGCTGCACCACGCGTCTCTCGGGCCAGTCCCGCCCCCGCAAGCCCGGGGTACTAACCCCGCGCGGGCGGCAGCGGCCCAGCCACTTGATTCTCGAGGATTTGTTCTGGGGCTGCGGCCGCGGAATCGGTGGGGCGGCCGCGGGCAGGCTGCGGGCCGGG